ATTATTATTAATTCAAACAGTAACGGTAACAACAATAATAATAATGCAGTTAGGCAACAGTCATCCAGTAAACAGCAGCCTGCAGTGCAAGCCCATTGGAAGGCAGCTACAATGAATGGATTTTCTCCGGCCACCATAAATAGTAGCGCTCGCAGTCGAGGGCCATTTGTTACACATGTCACATTGGGTGCGCCCATAAATAAAAGCAATAGCAGCAATCACACTAGTAACGATAACGTTAACAATAACAGTAACAATATTAATAACAATAATAATAATAATAATAATAATAATAATCATAACAACAGTAATAATAATAATAATAATAATAACAACAATAATAAAAGCAATAAGGTGACTAACGGCCAGCCGACCTATCAAACAGTGCAAAAGCAAAATCAATTGCAGTATAATAATAATTCGGTAGCTGGTCCACAACATACAGCTTCAAAAGTATGACTATAGGCAAACGTTCTTCGCCGTTTTAAAGGCGGAGGCGTTTTTCTAAAAAACACTAGCCTTAGCGTTAACCGAGAGGATAACATTAAATTTGAGCAGATGAACGTTAACGATTTCGTGAAAGAGGAGGATGAAGACGAGGAGGAGGACATTGTGGAGATATTCTGTTTTGCCACCGAATGCTAATGTTTATTATCGTTAATTATTTTACTTCTCTTTAGATTTCCTTATTATATATATATATATATATATATATTGTTTAATTTCAAATTTTGCAAATTTTTAAAAAATTTCTTTTTCGAAAAATTTCCAAAGAAAAATAAGCGTTAGATAGATGTACTTACATCATCAGTAATTATTGTAAATATGATTATTATGGTAATTAAAATATTTAAGAAATAATAATAACAATGAATGAAACTTGCAATATTTGCATAATATTTATAATATATGCTTAAAAAAAAAAATTAAGTTTTCAAAAAATTTGTTTACATAATTTTCTAAATGCACTTTAACGGATATATTGTATTTAATAGTATATAAATATATATTTATATATATATATATATATTTTTTTTTTTTGTAGTTCTTTAAAATTATTCTTGATTGATTATTAAAAGCATTGGATGATTATACACGTATTTAAGATGAAGATATTCTTTCATAAATTTACCAAATATTTAACTGAGTAAAGTTCTCTTTCTTCTCTAACAGGATAATAAACATTAAAAATTAAAACTGTGATTTCCTTATATCCTATACTATTTTCTATTTTTTTGAATATATATATATGAAAAAAAAAAATCGATAACATTGTAAACCGGTATATATTAAAACAACAACAATAACCATAAGTGTAAGAAAGCACTGCTGCATTCCAAAAATACGAAACGCTATCTTAAGTTAATCCTAACATACATATTACATAATACATAATATGCATATAATTAATAAACAATAGTAAGTTGGCAAGAAAGAAATTTCCTTCTCTTACTCTCTTTTTCCTATCTTTGATATATGTGATTATATCAATTACATATATGATGATGAAAATATCTCTGGAAATTTCTTTTTTACTAACTTATAATATCCGCCCGAGAAGGGTGCGTAAAAACGTACTAATGTTGCCCATCTGTTTACAAGGCTACACACAACGACATAACACAATCTATAAATTATTTACAAACACCTATTTGATGTATGCAAAAATCAGAGTTGAATTAAATAGGATCGCTCACAAATTATGTTGGATATATAATAATTTTTGTAAAAATTCCCAACTTGCAGGATGTCGCGTCCCGAAGTTTAACTTCAAATTTTGACTCGAAACATTAATTAATTTATTTGGATCGTTACAATTGATGAAACCGTAGCTTGAAACTTGATTATGACTGCACCTTGAATGGTTATTTAGTATGACGTAGCTTGAATGTTGACAAAAGTCATTGCTACAATGTTTGCTTAAGCCGCACATTGAATATTTTAATAAGCCTATGCAGTAAGTTGCTTATTAAAAACCTAACACGACTGTTTACTTTCTTTATGACTTACTTGAGCCACGATATGTATAGTCATAGTTTCAACAATGATTTCAATGTTAGTTAAGGCCTTAATTTAAAAACTTTTTTAGACCATTGGTGAAATGTGGTTTGACCCCAAATATTTATTCGAGCGACTGGCTTCAAGATTTAATAAAAATGATCAGCTTCTACGTTTACGTTTAGGTCGATAACACAGCTTTCGTCTCTTGTTTTTCGAATAGGTTTTCCAAACTGAGTTAAATTCACTTAATAGTTAGCCACGAAACAATTGGAAGGATTGAAACTGAACATATTTTATGGACGAAATAAAACCAATCTAACAATAGATAAATCAAAGCTCAGAGAGCTCAGAGATATTTCGCGAATAATATTTCGTTGCTTTCCTAAGCATTTTTGTAAATTTGCGCATAAGTCTCTGTATGAACATTTACAAGATAAATCAAAGCTCAGAGAGCTCAGAGATATTTCGCGAATAATATTTCGTTGCTTTCTTAAGCATTTTTGTAAATTTGCGCATAAGTCTCTGTATGAACATTTACAAATACAGTAGTTAGAGAGAAATTTGACTGACATATTCAAAAATCAAATTTGAAAGAGCTGCACCTGCAAGACCTACGAATCAAAAAAGCTTTACCAATAGATATTATCAGATTAGATAAAGCAAAGGTCATCCGCAAAGATTCGCTTCTAAGGCGGAAAGAAGTTTTGCAATTGTTTTCACTTAAATCATTTCATGATAAGATATCATGAGACGCGGTCGTCTAAATATATTTAGACCGTTGCTTAAAAGCAAATGAAAAGCAGATAAGTTCTCTTAAATGCTATATATATATAGTGAAATTAATTTCTTTCACGTAAAGCAAAACAGTTTGTATTCCGTATGACGACGAGACGACAATTTATCGAACTAAATTGTCATATTGTCGCCTGTTTTGGGTTTCAAGCTAATTAACTCGACATAAGTTTAACTCTCGAAATTGCAAAAAAAAAAAACAAAAAAACAAAAAATGATAGGAAAAGAATTTTAAATTTCTAGTACGTACTTCTCGTGTAATATTCCAAAATATATTCAATTTATCGCAATCTTGTTGTTGTGTTTAAGTAAAATTTGTAAAAATATTTATAAAAATTATGTACGTAAAGCAATATTTACTTGAAAATTTTCACACTTAACTTTACTAACCGAATTGTATATAACTAAATTTTTCTTTATATTTGATTTTTTTATATATATATATTTATATATATATATATATATATATATATATATATTTCTTTCTATTTTGTCTTGATCAAATAATAAAAGAAAAATTATATTCATTAGCGTATACGTATAACTAGACTGCTTAAATGGTAGTAATTATGAATAACATTTAAGTTCTTATATATTATTATTATTATTATTATTATATATTATAATTATTATTATTATTATTATTTTCTTCTCTTTTTTTTCATCAATCATCTTATATTTTGTAAAAGCAAAAGTAGCACCAAACGAAATTATATTGAATGACATCTATATTTGTATTGCAACAATAAATCTTGAAAATTTATTGTAAATTATTTATAGTACAAATGGTTTTTATATTTATCACGGCGCAAGAGGTCTTATATTGAAAAAAACAAAAACTCGATTCTAATGCAATGTTGTGGACCAACTCGTTAAATGTATTATTACAATTGGATTTGATAGCAAATTCACGCAAATATAAAGTGTTTTGCTCTCCAGTATTTAATTATGTAAAAAAGAACACGCAAGCCTTGGACATGGTGGACCATGCATTCATATTGAATTCGCCTCATTTTGCAGGCCAAGAATTTTAGTTAATTCCGAGCCACCATATCCGCCGAACATGCTTCGAAACAACCATTATCGTCTATTAAGACGTCAACTATTATTTAGTGTAAGGAGAGGTGTACCTTTAAAACAATTGATGCCATAAGAAGAAAGAAAATTCAAAGCGCTGCCTATAAGATTAGCTTCTAAGCTCCGAAAAGTGCGTTGAGTCATATAGGTGTCATAAAATGAAAGAGATTTTTTTGTAATCTAAACCATTATGAAAAGAAATTTTTATTTTTCAATTTATTGATCATAATTACATAGTTTCTTTTAATACTTATTAGGCACAAAACTATATACATATAAACTGTAATTATGCTTGAGTAGCGTGAATAATGAGAAATTAAAATCTCTATCCCGATCTTTCTTCCTCTTTTATAAATATCTACGAGTAACTTTTCAAGCTGGAAGCTGAACGCTTCTAAATTCAGAAATAATTTTCGGAAAATATATTGACTTTGATGCTTTTCTTTTTTTTATAATATTATATCATTTATATCATCATGCGTATATATCATGTCATACATTTTGTGGCTCCGTAAGTAAATGTAAATAAAAATAGACTTCTGATTGAGATTTGGATCATAATTCTTTTCACTATATTGTGCGGACTTTGCCATTATTTGTGGAATACATTGTTGCACAGCGTACGTCATATTAAGGTAAATGACTTCGTCAATAGGGTTTATTGCCCCGAAGTGTGTAAAGCACTTTTACAAAATTAAGTTTTGGATGTGGTTTATGGACTGAAAATGCCATTGCAGCTATCTGGAATGCAGAACATTACAGAAA